TGGTCCAGAGGGTTCATGAGGATTTGGTTGTATCCTGAGTAAGCATCCATGAAGTTCAGGAGTTCACACCCTGCCGTAGAGTCTATAAGTTTGTCTATGAGAGGAAGAGGAAAGCTATCCTTCGGGCATCCTTTGTTTAGGTCGGTGTAATCGACACACATTCTCCACAAGACCTTTTAGAGCAGGAGACTTTCCTTGGTCGGATTCTTCTTAACAAGGACAACATTTGCTACCCACGTTGGATAATTAACTTCGCGGATGAAGCTTATGCCTTTGAGTTTTTCAACTTCTGCCTTCATTGCCTTGTACCGTTCAGCGTCATAAGATCTTCGCTTCTGTCTCATTGGCTTAGTTTTGGGGTCAATACTTAAGCGATGACATATTATATCGGGAGAGATGCCTGGCATGTCCTCGTATGACCAGGCGAAGACCTTAGTGTTCTTACAAAAAAGAGATAAATGCCAACCGAATAGATGGTGACAAAATGGAACCAATCTTCACTATGCAATCCGGATAATCTTTTGAGATAGAGACCTTCTCCAACTCTTCAACGGGTTGTGCTTGCTGGGTGAAAGAGTCATCTCGAGGATCGTCAGGTTGACTGTTGCCACCGTGAAGATCCAAGTTGACTTCGTCTAGGCTGGTCTTTATGACTTGGTCATGTATAGAAAGGGTTTCCTTGGGCACATGCAGGTGTTGTTGCTTGACCGAAGTGTTGTAACATGATCGTGCACTAAGTTGATCTCCTCTGATGTAACCATTGCCATAGGGGGTTGGAAATTTCATCAACAACATATGTGTGGATACCATGGCCTTAAGATCATTGATGCTTGTGCGTCCGAAGATAACATTGTATGTCGTTGGGCAATCAACCACCAGGAAGCTAGTGGTAATGGTAGCTGTGTAAGGGCCTGTACCAATGGTGAAAGGTAAGTGTATGCTCCTCAAAGGTTGCACGATATCACCGGAGAAGCTTATCAGAGGGGAAATCGAGCGGCCGAGCAAGTGTTCAGCTACATTAAGTGCCCTGAAAGCTTCAGCAAACATGATATTGACCGAAGCCCCCGTGTCTACCAGGATTCGTCGTACTTTAAAGTTGGCTATGTGAGCTTCCACGATCAGTGGGTCATTGTGAAGGTAGATGATACCTCTTTCTTCCTCAGGGTAGAAACATATTGGATCCCAGTTAGGCTTTTGATACTTACCTCCCCTGATGTCTTCCATGTGAAACATTTAGTGGCCAGACCTTAAAGCTCGTTCACTATTTTTCATGACCCTGTTGGAAGATTTAGATATGGGTCTGCCACCACTTATGGAATATATCACATTTACCTGGCGTTGGTTACAGTTACCCCTTGGAGGGTGAAGGAGGAATTGATCAATTTTTCCTTCACGTGCCAAAGCTTCAATATAATCACGAAAGGTGATACACTTATCGCCGTCATGGCTGTTATGCTCATGGTAGCAGCAAAACGTGCCCGTGTTCTTCGTGGGCTTGTAATCCGGGTGCCTCGGCTTTGGCTTCGGTATCAAGTATGTTATGCTGAGGTAAATGGCCACGCATGTGGTGTTCAAAGGTATGTATGCCTCATACCTCGGGGTAGGGGCTGTCCTGACACGTGCTTGACCCACTGTGTTGACTGCCTGGGGTCGGGGATTATCGTGGCGATACCCTTGGTTATCACGGTAGTGTCCCTTACTCTTTTTACTAAAATGAGACTGGTGAGGATAGAAATCTTTCCTTTTATCCTGAGATTGATATGTCTATTGACTTGGCAAAGTATTAAGTAAGGCAGGGGGAGGCACCGCTGCCGTTTGGAAGGTCGATGTTTTCTTATTTGGTTGGATCTAGCTTCCACTCCCTACTTGCTGATAAGGGGTGGTTGTGGGGGGTTTCCCTTGATATGTCCTTACCTCGGCGGAGGCATGGTTGTAAGCCTGTGCCATCACCTCAGAGTAAGTCTTCCAAGTGTTGGCATTGATCATGTACTTGAAGAAACAATCACGTAGGCCTGCAGTGAAGGCCTTAAGGGCAGTCTTGTCATCTGCCTCAGCGCAGCGAGAATACTCATGACTAAAACAACCAGCATACTCTTGTAGTGACTCGTCCGGTTTCTGGCGAATAGTGTACAAGTCATCTGCAAAATGCAAGCGATCGGTCTGGAAAATGTGTTGAGAGACAAACAGTTTCCTTAGTTCCTCAAATAAGTCTACTGTCTTAGGTGGAAGACGGCAATACCAGTTTAGAGCTCCCCCAGAGAGGGTGGAGGGGAAGATAAGACATTGCTCTTCGTCGGTATGCATCCGATATGCCATGGTAGACTTAAAGAGGTTAAAGTGTTCAATTGGGTCCTCCCTTCCAGTATATAGTTGTAAACCAAGCTTTTGTTTTGTCTTCGCTTGAAGGGGGTGTCAAGGATCCTCCTTGTGAGAGGGCCAGGCCTGGGTTGGTTCCAGTCAGGTATCTCGGCTTGACGTTCGACCTTCAACTTGTTTACTTCCTCAAGGAGTTGTAGGACAAGGAGGTCTTAAATGGAGTCATGTACCACTGGGATTTTCTTTCGTAAGTCTCAATCACCTCTTTGAAGTAGGAAAGCTTGAGCAAGGGCGTATGATTTTTCCTTAGACTTGTTGTACTGACTTCTAGGGCGAGTCTGTTGGAATACCTCAGAGTCCCCTGTACCTTCATGTTCCTCTAGGACATGTCGTTCCTTCCCTAGATTGGCAGCTGGCCTAGGTCGTGGGAGGGGATCGAATCTTTCAGAAACCCTTGGGTCATTGATCTTCGAGCATATGTGGAGGGGATTCTCTCGACGTTGCTTTAGGAAGTCTCGGCAGTCACGATAAACGGCTTTCAATCCTTCCAACCCTTCTGTAAGGAGGTGTCTTCCTCCATTTCTCCCGCTTCGGGTCAAAGCAGCTAGGTTGAGAGAAGTTTCATGTTGATCAATGTTTTGATGATTAGCTCGCTCCTCATCAGGGATACCCATGTCGAAGGAAGGTGACCCTCCGTGTTGGGGGGCACACAGATGATGGTTGATGTCCACAGGGGCAACAAGTTCGCGTGTTTGAGTACGCATAGTTTAGTGGAGCGTCTCAAAGAGCTTCTCATACTGCTCCTAGATGACCTCATTCTTTATTGCTATTTTGTTATTTTGAGCTTTTAGCTCATCGACTTTAGCTTGAAGAGCAACCCTCTTTCTTTCCTTCTTTCGTTGCTTCACACTAGGTGCAAGATGGGTGTCATTCTGTGTATTGTGGCTTCCTTTGCTCCCCATGTTGAAGAGGGATACCTGGTCAAAAGAGAGTGTACGAATGGTGGAAACCAGCTTGACAAAGTTGAAGAAAGTGGGAATAAGTGTCGTTCCCACAGACGGCGCCAAATGTTGATGCACAAAATCAGTGAGGACTTTGGTACAACAGAAAGTGTTAAGTTTGTGACCTTCGCTAGATTGCTCCGGTCACTAGTGTGGATAAGTAAGTAAATGAATAGGGACAGGGAAGCAAACACAAGATGTACGTGGTTCACCCAGATTGGCTACGTCCACGGAGTAGAGAAGTTCTCATCAATTGTGAAAGGTTACAAGTACATAGGTTCAAGCTCTCCTTTAGTGAGTACTAGTGAATGATGTAGTACAAATGACATTAGGAAATATTGTGAGAGAATGATCTCTATTTATAGAAGAGAGTTTCTAGTTTCATTCTAACATTGGCACATGTCGTGTTGTGATTGGCTTCTGATGTTAACACATGTCGCGCTATGATTGGCTTCTGATGTCGACACGTGTCGCACTGTGATTGGCCTCCTGGTTGGAGGGAAACTCTTCTAGGTCCTTGACAGTATAACGTTGACCGGTGCTCAGTAGTTTCGAGATTGGTTAAGTATGGTACAAACAATCACTAATATTGGAAAAATAAATTAAATAGTTCGTAGCACTCTATTAACAGTAAGGGTGTGTTTGTTGTATCAAATTATTTCGGATTAGATTAGTTTCATGGACTAAGTTGGACTGGCTTAAAATAAACTAAGCTAGACTGACTTAGTGAAATGTTTGGTACAAGTTTCGACTACAAATTGAGATAATAAAAACAAGTCGTCCATTTGTAGTACAGTGTTGAGCACTCTTCTTCTTCTCTGCTTCTCTTAGTCTCCCACTTCCACAACTCTTCTCCTTCCCCTTCCACTTCGGCTTCTCTCAGTATCACTTCCACAACTCTTCAACTCTCCACCTCACGCTCTCCCAGAATCTGATTCCGATTCCAATCCCCACCCTCCACCTACCGCCACCCTCCCACCCACATCAAAAACCCTAATACACCACCACTACTGTGCTACCTTATTGCTATGATGATGCTTAAAGTTTGTAGCAGAGACGACCTTGAACGAGTCACAGTGGAGAACCCGCAGCACACCACCGCCTCGAAACTCAAATCCAAACCCAGGAAGAAATTGCCCGATTCACCGACGTGGCCAATCCCAACACACCTCTTACAGCGCTGAATCTTACAGATGGGTCTATTGTTTACTTGGCTTACGACGGCGAGCGCACTGTCGCTGGGCCGACTTTTCACCCGGTGGGCTCTTTTGGAAGGAAGATGACCATGGCGAAGCGAAGCAGACGACCTTTGCTAGCGATGTCTTAGCAATCCTCTGCTTTTCATGAGGTCTCGCTTAGACCATCTAGCTAAGAATATATGGTTGGTTTGGTATTGTTGTGCTTTTAAAAGAAATTATTTCTGTTGTATTGTGAGAATAAGTAGCTGTGAAATAAAGTAGTAGAGCGTTTGGTAAACTTTTTTGTGAAAGTGCTTCTAGAAAAAAAAGTTTGTTCAATGATGCTCCTAAGAGAAGAATGCATGTGGTTGAATACTTCTTTATGACCTGTTGGTTCGGGATTCTTATGACAATCCGGGAGATGATATATTTCACCTTTATATGGTCCCAAATAACCTATCATTTGTAGGTACCCCGCATCTACCAAGTAATATTTTCCTGAAAATTGAAAATTTTGTTTTGTATTGTAATAATTATACAAAGCAAGTATGTAAAATGTTATAATAAGTATGAAGATTACCATTTCGAGGCTTAGAAAAGTATAAATTTGGATTCCGTAGCATGGATAGAAAAACCCTTGTATTATGTGCAGTGACTTCCCATCCGGCATAAGCAAATGTGAATTGCATGTCAAAATTACATGCAACCATAACATTTTGAGTTGGCATTCATTTCCTACTAATGTATGTAACTTGATCCGAAGGTGGTATTGAAGCCTCAACATGTACTCCATCTATGGCACCAATACAATCCTAAAAATAATAACATAGAAGAAAACTGTCAACCTACACTTATAGTTTGCAAATAAGTTGGAAGACGAATCAAACTTTACCTTAAAATGAGACATGTATCTTGCATCTCTCCTTATTTCTTGGGGAATGCCACGAAATTCCGAATCCATCGGTTTGATAATATCTATTGCCATCTTATATACGATATCTAACATAGCACCAAAATATCTACTAACAGTCTCACTAGAATGTTGAAATCTCTTTTGCGCTAATATATTTTTCACACCATGTCCTAACATATGCAAGAACATTCCTAATATTTCAGTTGCATACATTCTCCTTGAACCTTTCAATCCATAATTAGTTTGCAAGTCATTGGATAATCTATAAAAGACATCTTTGTTCATCGTAAACATTCTATAGCTTTACACATCATTTCCTTGTAGTACTTCTATCAACCAAATATTACCTGTTTGGAAAGAATTCATACACGGAGTTTTATGGACATATTTTAAATAATATGTTTCAACAACTCTCGCTACAGCGCATATAATTAGATCATCCTCCAAATCCTCAACATCATCATTAGAGGTGTTCATATTGAATATACACATGTAACCTAATACATAATTCAGCATTCCATAAGTCATAATCCAACAATCACTAAGAAGTCATAATCCGACATTCAAGAACAAGTCATAATCCAACGTTTAACAAGAAATCATAATCCAACATTCAATAAACACAAAATACAAGCAACATTCAACACATAATCTTAATGCAAAGTACAAACCACACATAGTCATAATTCATAGTTTTAGTTCCTTATTGTTGTTTGTTTAACATATATTTCAACCAAGTCAGCTGGACTTCAGGATCTTGTATCGTGGCAAAACACATCTTGCTTCTCTGCACTACAATATAAACATGTAGCAAACAACCATAACTTGCTTGGTGGCTCACAACCAGGTAATTGTGCAATAGTCGCTATCACTTCCAGAATACTACTACCTATATGTAGCGACCTCATCAATGAGTTTGCAGAACTCCTAGTTTCATAAGCTTCAACAAGATGGTCAATTTGACCACAAATTTTTGCAGCACCTCCATTTTTTTTTCCTTTCTTATCAACCTTCTTCTTTTACAATTCTCCTTGGTTAGCCGTTTTTTTTTTTCATTCCTAGTAGCTTGCCTTAGATCCTGCATAGTCTCAATTTCTTCCTCATCATTTGAATCAATTTGTCCTATAGATTCCTTTCGTCTCTGGTGGTAGTACTCCAGATGAAGGTGCCTAGGCATGTTCACCGATAGCAACTGTACTCGAGAACATCTTATCTAACTTGTCCTCCATCTCAGGACTAATGCCATTTTTTCGCAATTTTCTATTTTCTTTGTTTATCTACTAGTAAGAAAGAATATGATTAATACATATTGCATGATATCATAATACACATTAAAAGATAAATACACAAACCTAAATTTTATTATTCCACAACTCCTCAGAGACATCAACGGTACCCTTACTCGAATTCCACCCTAGGCCAGTTTCTTTACCAACTAGCTATTTCCACAACTTCCACTCATTTTTAAGTGCATCCCACTGATTTTTAAATTGCCCTTTTTCATAATCATGCCCTGTCTCTGCCTTGAAGTTAGCTCTAATATTAGCATATTCTTCTTTGTTAAAGTGAGTGTCCGAACGCTTTCCGGCCTCAACCTCCTTAATGCAAACATCACAAAATATAGATCTATTATGGGCATTCCATGTAGCTGAAGGATTTGACGAAGATGCCCCCTTCTTTGCCATCGATACCAACTACTGATTCGTATATATATATATATATTAAAGCAAGAACAAATGATATAGAAATATAACCAAGAAATAACTAATCAAACTATTTTGCAGTTTATGAAACTATCTCCCATGATCGGTTATCATCATTTGATCTTGCTTCTTAGAACTAGTGACAAACAAAACAGTAGACAAATATTTTGATGGAATGGAACAAATCCCAACCTGAAAGTAAATAAATCCCATGGGGACTTAAGGAACTTAAGGAATGATGGAAGGGAATAAATCCCAACCTGAAAGTAAAATAACATAGTGAACCACAAGCAAGTAGGTGCAAAAACCAACTGAAGAATTATTTTGTTCCATTTAACGGCAAATATGTAATCCATACTGAACAAAAAAAACTACTTTTTGTTCTATCAATAACCAAAAATGCTGGCACAAAAAATGTAAGCTATATTATCCAACATTTAAACAACAATATTACTTTTCTTAATTTCCTGTGCAGTTCGCCCACCACTTCTTAATTTCCTAGGAGAGCAATCTATGAGTAACTTGTTAAAGTCAGGAACTAATCATTTCCTTTATCCAAACACTAGACCGAATCCCTGTACTGATGCTCAGACCTGAAAAACTAATTACCTTTTTCCTTTTCCTTTCAACTCCAACATTCAATGACTTTAGACATCTGTTTTCCTTTCAGTCTTTGTTTGTGCTTGAGAGCATTATACATATTACTTTTTTTTTTGTTCTAACTTTTAAATATATGCATATCCTAATGAGATTGCATTGCATCTGATTCATGGTCGTTCTTGTGTTGCATTGCATCTGATTCATGGTTGTTCTGGAGGCACTTGCACAGGAGGCATGAGGTTGCTGTTTGATCTAGAACAAATTCAGAGGTATGCCCCCCAAGCTCATGCTCCTACGCCATATGTACGTATATTCAAATCATAGTTTTCATTTATTTTGGTGTGCAGTTTTTGTGTTTTCTTTAGGATGAAGGTCTTACTTTCTCTCATGTTTTTAATTTCTTATCTCTTTCAATTCCTAAGAGAGTCTCATTAAAAAATACATGGATATACCACCATGTCCGAAAAAAAAATCCAAATTTAGCCAATCTACGAGAAGCCTTCCCGTAATCACAATACCAACTACATTGCTACATATATCTCACATTTTTGCCATAGTTTGCATACACAACAGAAGAACGAAACCACCTTAAGTTAACCACAATCGAAACAATATGAACAACAATTGATCATAATAGAGATATAAAAGATTACTATAAAAAGATTAGGTACTTGTTCGAGTAGCCTAACCTTAACCCAATAAGGATAGGATAGATGGATCATATGCACAAAATCAACCCGAAAAGAGAAATTATAGTAGATGACATATACACTAAGATTAAACAATTAAAAACCTGCCTCCACCAATAAGCAGAGTAGAGTTCACAAATTAGTAACAGGACAAATCAGAAGCAGAGTTCAAAGATCAGAAGCAGAGCAGAGCAGAGCTTTATCCTTTCTTTTATACCTAAACCCTAAGATAACTCAGAAGCAGACCTTCCACAAACCCTATTTTTTTCCTCAAAATTACTATCTTTTTCCAAATAATTTTTTCCACAAACCATATCACCTTCCCCAATTAATTTGTTCCCGACCCTCCATCCTCAATCTTTTTTCCCGACACCCATACACTCATCCATTTGCTCTTCCCACCCCTCTTTCACTCTCACTCTCCCGTCCCCAAATTTAAAAATCCAAACAAATAAATAACGAAATTTTAGACAAGAGAAGCTTACCAGAGGAAGGACGCCAAGCCGAAGAACGCAACCTGTAGAACGAGAGAGATCGCTAGGAGAACGAGAGAGATCGCTAGGAGAACGAGAGAGATCGCTGGGATTGAAGTTTTTCTGGTTTGGGTGCGAAAGGCGTGTTCTGAAAGTGTGAGGAAGGGAGGAGGGCAATTTTGGGTTATTGAAAAATTCATTAAAGATTACTGTTCACTTGTGTTTTTGAAAATAAGTTGGTTTTTGGAAGCTGCTATTTGCAGCTTTAGGTTTTGGGTTTATTTTCATCCAAAACTTTGAAATAAAGCTGATTTTGACAGTTTACCAAACACCATAAACCCTCCCAACTTTTTTTCATACCCACTTTTTCTAAAATCACCTTAATGCCAAACTAGAGCTTAGTTTACACACGTCTTATTTAATCCCACTAAAGCTGGTCCATGCGCATAACAACACACAAGGCTACATTAATAAGTAATCCAGTCCAAACCAGTGAAAACTAATAATAACAAACAATCACACCCTAATAGATTTTTCAAAGAACAATTAATATTTTTCAAGCCAGCAGGTTCAAGTAGAGGATTACAATATCATCTCCGCCCTTCCCCGAACACCAAACTCATCTTCATACCCAATTTCTATCCTTCACATTTATATATAATAAAATTGAGTTTTAGGATGGTGTCGATGTAAATTTCCGTTGTCTTCAATCTTGATGAAAATGCACCTGTAGAACAATTAATACATTTGATCAAAGACCTAAGCCTCACGCGCCATGAGGGGGGGTTAGGTCAAAGGATTTCCAATGCCTAAGTTAGTTTATCTGAGAGAGTAAAGTGTTTAGGGCTTTTTTTAGGGTTGCCAAAGCTCTAAAAATTTAATAGAATATGGGGTATTTATAGGGATAGGTTCGGTCATAGTGTTTAATGGAGAGATATTCTCTAAATATTCCCAAGATATTAAATAGGAAATAATATCTTGAGATAATGATGTAATTATCCTAATTTATTTAAATTAGGATTACTTACTTGATTGGAGTTAATATTCAATTGGGAATGTATTAAAGATAGGATTTTGGTAATTAATCCTTATCTTTAATTACTTGACAAGGGCATGTGAGCTGTGGGTAATCGTATTTAGCTGCTAAAACCTTGAGGGATGTGAGCTGGGCGTGAGAGTATCTGAGAAGCCTGCCTATTTATTGAGGACAATCTTGTCTTTCTTGAATAAAAGCCTATGTGTCGCCTCTAGAATTTTTGGAATTATTTTAGGCACCACAGATGGCACTATTGATCTATAGTGTATAGACGAATTTACCCTTCAGCTTCTTCTTGGTTCTATGTTTTATTAAACCTGGCATTCGTGTTGTGTTTTCCGTGTTCGTGTTGTTTTTGTGTCATATCCAATATCTTAACGGGTCGTGTCGTGTAACACCCGTTAAAATAAACGGGTAAAATGACCCGACCCGAAATCGACCCGATAATATTAACAGGTAATATGACCCGACCCGTTATCGGTTAAGGAAAATATATTTTAAACCAATAAATAATCAAATGAAAAACATTATACTAAATAAGTATATACATATCATATTGTCACATCCAAAACATAAGAACGCAATTTTCTTTTAAGTATATTTTCACTTACCTAAAGTCTTTAATAATTTTTTAATTAATGTAGAAGTGTAAAAAAAATATAGAAAAAATATATAAACGCTCGTAATGACAAGCTTTACAACTTTCATGAAGAGCTTAACTTTGAAATTGGCCACTATAATCATATAAATCATAAATCAAAATTTAACCGTTGATTGTTGTTTACATTTAAACTTCATTGTTCTCATCAACTTTTGTTTTTTTCAGATTTTCTTTTTAGAAAACTTGATCTATTAGAGGATGCATGAAGATGAACGGTTTGGATCGTTGATATTATATTCAGAGTTTTACGATTAGTGAAAATATTGCTTGATGTTTATAAAGTTTCTACAAACTATATGACATCGACTCATATTTTAGTTAATCGTAAATATCGAAACGTGATATCAAAGATCTAAACCGTTCATCTTCTTACATCCGCCAGATGATCATGTTCTCAAAAAGAAAGTTTCAAAAATGAAATTTAGTAAGAAGAATAAAGCGTAAATGGCAATCGACGATTAAATATAAATTTAAGGTTTATGAATTATAGTGTTGGATTTTGAAGCTGACCCCTTCATGAAAGTTGTAAAATTTGTTACTATGAGTAATTGTATATAATTTTTTTTTTACATTTTTTACACTTCTACAATAATTATTATTAATTTTATTAATTTTGCCCTCAAATAAAAAAAACATTATTCATGAAGGTTTGGAGGATTTTAAAAATCTAAACGATAATGTAAGTGTAACCATTATTTACTCGTTGAGGAATAATGATGAATCACGAGTGTTTATATATTCTTTCACATTTTTCATACTTGTATGTATGTCTTCTTAGTTCTTGCCTATACAAATATTATATTAGTTTATTTTAATTTTGGATAATAACATGTTAAGTAAAATTTATCCTAGTAATGATAATAAGGAACTCTCATAATAAAAATAAATAATGAATAAAACTTTTTTTTTAAACTTATATAGAATAATAATACAAAACAATATATTTAATATAGAATATATTGTATATATTAATATGACTATTGTAATTTATAATAAATATTTTAGTAATTAAACTTTAAAATTATCAAAATAATTTTTTCTTAACGGGTCGAAACGGGTAACCTACGTGTTACATGCGTGTATATCCGTTAAGAACCCGTTATTAACAGGTTCTTAACGGGTCACCCGATAATGACCTGATAAGTTATCATATTGACTCGAAACCTGTTATTTTTATGTCATGTCAGAAACTGCCGGATCTAGTTTTTACCTCCTTTGCACAGTGAAAGGACGACTTTGCCCGCGATGGCCATGCATTCTTCGTCGTTAGGCTTTCCTGTTCGATTTCTGTGCTGTTTCGTTCTCTGCTTTTCATTTTGCTTCTCTCTTTCACACCATTTCCTGCAATCAGTTTTTTTTTCTTTTTCTGCCCCACTTCTACACGTGTTGGTCATCGCGAATAGAAAAGAAGTGGAAAAGCCCAAATCTTCAACCCCTCCTCTTTATGCAACAGAAAATCCATGGCTTTCTTCAAGCCCTCCATTCCCCCCACCAGGGACTCTTCTACCTCCGGCGAGGTATATGTCACCATGGGTCCCATGTTCGCCGGCCAAACCACCACCCTACTCCGCCCGATCAAGTTAGAGGGCAACAACGGCAGGTAAATTTTAAATTTTTGGTTAAAGCCAAGTTCGATTTGTGAAGATTTTGGGTAGAGATTGAAGCTTTGTGTGAGGTCGTGTTAAATCGGTACTGAATTTCCCTTAAATTTAATACTTATTTATTATATATTTTTTTATGTGTAGGAATGTGGCGATGATAAAATCGAGTAAGGATATGAGATACGCCATTGATTCAGTTGTGATGCATGACGGGGTGAAGTTTTCGTGCTGGGCGCTGTCAGATTTGTCGTCGTTTCGTGTTTAATCTTTGTTGGGTTTATGTCAATTCTTCTCTTCTTATGTTTGACTATTGGATCTTGGACCTTTGATTTCTGTAAAACATGTTATGGCATGGTAAAACAGTTAGATGAAGGTTTGTCGTTTGCAGAAATGAATATTAGGGGGAGAGAAAAACGGGAGAGCAGGGGTGGAAGAGAAAAATGGCTGGGCTCTTTTGCACTAATTTGTTTTATTTTTTAATTTTAAGTTATTTGAGGTTTTGTGATAAAGGGAGGTTGTGGTCTGGTAACATGGCTTAAATAAAAGCAGAAACCATGATTTCTATGAACTGGACAAAGTTTTGTCCAACTCTTTACTCTTTGTTCCAGTTCTTCTGCAAAGGTTGTCTTTGTTATCTGTTTTAAAGTACCCAGACTAACAACTATTTTTTTCTTTTGTCTAAAATAAAGGACCAAAAACATAATGTTGCTCTTTTTTTTTTCTGTATCTTTTACAAGCCATATGCCCATAACGTTAAAGAAAACATAATGTTGAGTGAACAAGAACTCAGCAAATTGTAAGTCACTCATCCCCAATACTTTCTGTATGTTTTCTTCAATTATTTGTTTTTGGGTTTGTTTCTTTCCCAAGAATAAGAAGAAAGAAACGAGAAAAATATAATATTGGACAATAATTATTTATCTTGGGAGTGTTATATATATATTTTTTTGGTAAAAGGATAGATTCAAAGAACAAAGAGGCACAAGGCCAAACAACACGCAGAGAAACAACCTCCGCAACCCCAGAAGATACAGACATAGATAAAAAGGATCAAGAAAGACACCACCTCAACAGGTACCAGCGTCGCCCTATTACCAGTGCAACCCATCCCCAATTACAAAGGAGGACAGGGAAGACCATCTTTGTTCAAAATGCCAACTAGCGAAGATGAAGGTTGAACAACCCAGCCAAAGCTGCACATCTCCAGTGAAATATTCCTTGCGACAATCCGCCGCCATACTTGCCGATCGTGGAATCCACGACCAGGAGCATGAATGAAAACTCCTCCCAACATCCAAGATACAGCTAAGAATTGGGAAAAGGTCCCAATCACAGCTCAAAGAAGGGGAATTGAGGGACCGAATAACCCCTTGTGCGTCTGACTCAATTACCACCTCCTGCACTTGCAAACACTTAGCCAACAAGCACCCTTCCAGAATAGCAAGAGCTTCAGCCATCCTAACCGAAGATGCATGCATCCATACACTTTTAATCGCCCTACAACCCGATAACCAATCACGGGCCACAATCCCAATCTTACCACAACAGGAGTCCCTCCTCCAACACGCATCAACATTCACCTTAATCTTATTGATTGGGGGAAGAGACCAAAGAGTGAGAAGGCGCGTACCTCGAGGACGGCTAGTTTGGATTGTGGATGATAACAGCAGGGGGCGGAGGCTTGCATAAAAGACTCCAAAGCAGTAATGATAGTTCGAATAGATCGAAGAGGTGAGGGCTTAACACCGTTGAGAATAGCATCACATCGGGCTCTCCAAATAAACCAACATGTAAAAATCAGGTACCTCATAGACCGAGCGAGATCCTCATGACAACCCATATTTTGATTTATCGCCCCATACACCCACTCAGCCAAAGTAGTA